CCGACAGCCGTCAAAAGAATTCTAAGTTATAAGAAACTGAGGTTGTAATTTAGCTGTCAATCTGCTATTAACTTTTTCATTGAAATGAAAACATTAGTTAAAATTAGCAAATATGAAAACTTATTTCAAATAAAACATGGAAAAATATTATCACTTCAACATATATGTTTCATATATAATAATTCTGATTTTAAGATTCATGGTCGGTAAACTCAGATTTTTAAAATTTTAAAAGCCATCTCAGTATTTTCAGAACTCTTGAGGATTTAAAATAAGATAAACTGTTAAATTGCATAAAAGTTCCATTTTTGTTCAATTAGCATATTTAGAATATAAAATGCATTTTGGTCGTGAAATGAGTGACAAAGATTTGAAAAATGCTAAATAATATGAAAATTTACCAATTTAAAATTCTAGGAGTTTAACCGAAATAAAATTAAGAAGTTTTGGAGACCTAGTTGATGCTGTTCTTTTCCGTCTGTTTTGCGTCCCCTCTCTTCTCTGTATCTGGACGAGATACAATTTCGCATTGTTAAAAAGCAGTATGAACTCCCAAACAAAGAAAAATAACTAATAAGCTGTATTTTGTGACGAAAACGTTTAATTTTTCAAATTTTTCTTGAAAAAACAGAAATAATTTCCAGTTTGCGCAACATTAAGCACTTGTTAGCCAAAAGCTTTCTTACTCTGATATCTGAATACAACTTTTTTAAATTCGGAATAATTATGAACTTTTTAGCTTTTAAAAGCAACTTTTTCCCCTTTCTGCCGAAACGAATAAAACATTGTGAAATGCTTTTGCAGGAAGGATAGAAAGGAGTTTGAAATTCTAAAAGAATACTTAATGTTTCTCCCTTCCTAAGTTCTGATCTAAATAAATGTGTAGTTTTAAGAGCTGTAACAGAAATCCGAAATATTGAACCCGAATAGTGCTTTATTTGAATAATGGAGATGCAAATATTACTGCTATCTGATTTAGGAAAATTTCACTTTTTCGCTCGCAGCCAGATGAAACCGAGAGTTCGCGGCCGCTTTCAGTGGGAAAAATGAACCAAGTGCAGGAACCGGTTTAGCGAGACTCATCAGGAGTATGAGGCGTGTTTCTAAACATTTCACTGACACGTATCTACTGACCTAGTGGCCATAACAAACGGTAGAAGTTGGCTTGTCGCGAAAGTCCGACCTACTGCCAATGTAAAGCCACTTTGAGAGTGAATCCTTTTCGAAAGGCAATAACCTCTCAACTGTCACGAACAAAAGAATTATTTCCCATTTAGCCTGCATAGGCTTTTGTTCCGTCTGTGAGGTTTGTTGAACCCGTCGCTAACCTTCATGATGCTTTCCAGTCTGTCCCTTTGGAAAACACCTTGTTATGTATAAATAATACTGTAGAACAGAGTACATCCTTCATTCCCACTCTCATGTTCTAAAATATCCCTTTGAAAAACGAGTCCGTAATATTTAGGTCACAGTTTCGAGAATTACAATTTCTAAATCGAGGTGGCAGAAAAAGGGGCTTTTACGTATGGAACTTCGATGTTGTACAAGAGTACCTTATACAAAAGATTTGTATTTTAATCTTTAATGCCGGGTTTTAATATACACATTCATTAATATTCTTACATTTTATGTCTGCCAAAGTTATTGAAAATAATTGAAACGATTTACTTTTGGAACTTGTAATGTGGCCTCATAAAACCCAAAATATCTAAAACTTCTATCACAACTAAGCATAGAATTAACAAGTTATGCACGTTTTATCTATTTAGGGATGTAACGCTATAACAAAGCCATGCTTTTCTCATCCACCTCATTTCACTGGAGTTGAAGTCAAGAGAAATACGAAAGTAGAATTAACATTGCTTGCCTTACTGCTTTCATCTGAAGATGGAAGTGAATGATGTAACAGTGTACTGGAAACTTGAGTACTGGGTTATAAAATCCAAATAATGACCAGGAGAGTACAAACCGAGAGTTTCGCATCTTCGGTACGTCGGATATAGGGTGAATTTAAATCGGGAAGCTTAGGTGGAAGCTGTGGTTACAGACGTTCGAATGGCATTTAGAAATGACGTACCAATCGTAGAGAGGTGTTTGCATTTAGATTACATGGCTAAGCTGAGCAGCAACTTGTGTTGAATGATCGCTAAAGGGAACCCCCGCCGCTGATTAAAGGAGTGCAAAACACAGTAACATTGAAGAACAGCAGAAGATTATTAGGTGGGGTGACGAAACACATTATGTGCTGCGGCATTATGATGCACGTATTTCGATTTGGAAGATGCCAGGTAAGCGCTGCCTACGAAGGTTCAGTGCTTCCACTGTGAAAGTTGATCAAGGGCTATTATGACATCGGCCACTTTTTCTGGTTTCGTTTTGGTCCGTTGTTTTTGTGTCTTGGATTCTGAATGGCGAAATCTATTATGCAGTATTCTGTTAAACCCATAGTTAAGAAACAATCTGGAACTGGCTCTTATTTTCAATATGACCATTCCTGGCATACTGAATATAAACGTCCAGAAAACGGAAGCTATAACTGAGTAGTTTGTGACAGTAAGATTGAAGGAACTCGACTAACAGGTCTAATGTTGTGATCTAAACCCAACAAAGTATCTCTGTGATGAGTTAAACAGTTAGTGTCAACCTAGAGGCAGACAAATTCGTCAGGGAAATATTCGCATTGCTGCCATAATAAGATATTTGCAGACGTCTACTGAAACTAAGCGAAAAGTGTTCAAAAGGTAAAAGACTGCGATAGCGGCAAATGGTGATCGTACGTAATACTGACACAAAACAAGCTCCAGTTAAGCAATCTTATCGCGAATGCCCTCGAAGTAGCAACAAGACTTGGCTCAGTAACCTAACATCGAGCGAAAGTGGGTCCTTTAGTCCATCCTTGTGGTACGTTCACTAATGCACTGCACTGAGTAGTCTAGAGTGAAGGAATGTATGGTGAAACACTTATATGAAAATTATAACAAAGGAACTAGTTTTATATTGAATATTTTCCTCTGAATAACTTTAATAAAAATCATTTAAGTTATACCATTAGCAACTATAGATACAATTGAATGAATGTAAGCGAGATCTAAAAAAAAAATCATTATTATTAATCATCATCAAAATTATAATTCAATAAAATGAAACATGAAAAGTTCACATTAGAAAGCTTAAAAAGATGCAATGTTTTAAGTCGTTATTCTCAGAATAGCGCAAAATTTTCAAAGTAGTGACTAGCTAAAATTCCTCGAGAATATTCACACGAAGAAACCCTTAGAAACACCACAGTCATACACCCTAAGAAAAATTTCCACCTGCGGAGAAAGCTCCATTCGTGCAGAAGCCCGCCCGTACGGACTGAGAGCGAATCTGAATAAAAGACCGAAGGGATACAATCGCATAAGAATAAACACTTCGATTTATCATACAGAAGCTGTACCGGATTCCTTGCTGTCTGTAGTCTCGAGCTCGCGGCTGGTTGATCAAGTTATTATCTGACCAACCTATATAAATAAGTTTCCGAAATAACTCTGAAGTATCATGTGTAATTGAATGAATATGAGGGAGATTAATTAACATTGTGAAGTGTAAATATATTTACAATTTTAAATTATTGATATTAGAAACATCTATAACAAAGCCTCCATTTTTTTGGTCATTACATTGCTTTACCAGAATATTGATCAACCACATTAGCTGTTAAGTGGTGCCCTTGCATAAATCATAAGATCTTTAATTTATCCTCCACGTGTCAGTGGAAAATTAGCCACTTTCCACAGTACTACAGTTTAACGCGGTTTTAACTTTCATATTATGATTGTAGTTGCTTAACAGACTGACGCTTTAAAGAAAAGAATCAATTTTTTAGTAATTTCTCTTTATTTAGTAATAACATATTTAATCGATAATCTATAAGGCATTTTATGATATAATTAATATATTCAACTGAAAATATTTATGAACAATTCACCATCGTTTGTAATTAATAAAATATGTTTTTAACGCCATATATTTATGTACTTCGCATAGAATATATATTTATTTTATGAAAATGTAGCTGTTTGGTATTTTACATAACTCAGCTATTTGTAAAATGAATAGGATTAATGAGATTGAGCTCAATCAGAGGTAGTGTTTTAATCGAGAAGTATTAAAACAATATTACTGCTAGTAATTTAGTTAATAATTAACTACTATGCTGTACATCCTCAGCATCATGAGAATATCGTGAATGAGATTGAGTTTTCATAATTAATTATTATTTCATAACATTTGCTTATTATATTGATTACATATAGTAAAAGTCTCAACATCAGTAAAAGTAAAATATAATCAGTAAAAGTTTTAGATGTTTTTAATTATTAGTTATTATCTTAATCTGGTTTGTTCATTTTTAGAACAATTGTTAAACATCTTGTGTGAACAGTTTTCTCGTAGAAATGTGAATTGCAGGACAGGCGAGCAGTAGAGAACAGAGATTATTGCATAGCAAGAAATTTATTTTACATGTGAGAGTGAAATATTCACAGGCTTTAATTCTGTATCAATTTTGTAAATGCAAAAGCGTGATTAGGCACTTCAACTCAATGTCATTGCATAAACAGAGCGCTGTAGTTGGATATTCTGATGTTATTTTCAAATTCCTTTTGACCCCACGCGAGCCATTTATTAGTGCTATGTCTCATGGCATTGTTTCATACTTAACTGGTGTTCTCCGTTACTTACTTGTTTATATATTTAAATCCTTTAAATGAAAAAAAAAAAAAAAAAAAAAAGCGTTTTTTTTTTTAGAACTCTCTTATTTCTTACTTAGAACATTAACTGACGAAGTCTAAAATGTTCAGCTAAATATATATCCTAAATGTATTTCTAACTGACGAAGTCTAAAATGTTTGGCTAAATATATATCCTAAATATATTTCTTCATTTAAATTTTTATTTTTAAGTTACCAATAGTCTTTTCTAACCTATTCCCTTTTTTATGTTCATTTCTTTTCCAGTTAGCACTCTACTTTGATTTTCAGCAGTCCTAACACATTTCATTATGCAGCCTTCCGTATTTAGCAAACGGCCGAGCGGTAAAGTCTCTAAACACTGATAGTTCATCCTCTGATCGAATCCAAGCGAACGGACTATCTGCATGGGCGTTTTTGTGGTTTGCTACGGAATCTGAAAGTAATGAAATCACACTTCGAATGTTTGATTTTTGAGTCTTTACCTGTTTGCAATTATGTTTAGAAGTGTTATTGCTAGAAGAATTAAATATTTGAGCATTATTTATTTTTAACCTTTCTATCGGAAAAGACATATTAGTCACTGTTCGTGTAAAAGCAGGCAATATGGTGTGGTAATTTTTATTAAAGTATGCGGTAAAGAGTGGATTCCTCCTGCTAAAATGCAAATGCTTGAATTTTTCATTTGCATGATATTGTTGAAGTGTGGGGCTACACACGGGGATATTTTCACATGCACCGGAAATGGTAAAGATGAATTTAGCACCTTCTATTTAAACACGTAATCCACATTTTTTTATTATTAGCACCCTCTAGTCTGCGTGAGATAAAAATAAATTTATTGTCCTTTGATTGTGCTTAGGAAATATTCTCAGAGGGCATGAGAAACTAACAGCATTTGACATTAAATTGAACACTGGCGTATGAGAAAGACGGTCTTTGATTCCTTATTATTCAATTTGCATTTAATTTATGTTAGCGATCTCTGATAGGCGAAAATGATCCGAAGGAATTTCTTCCAACCGAGATGATCAAAAACTAAATGATTTCAAGTTGAAAAAAAAAAAAATTTTCCCAATGGCAGATTGTGAACAATTACAAATGTAACCCAGCCTATTAATCTATACAAGGCTAGATGTGGTGGTCTCTTTATTATGGAGGCACCTAATAGGTGGGCCACCATCGCCCCCTGACCACTATACCGATTGGGCGGCTCAAGTTGAAAAATTGTTACTAACTTTTTTTCTACTTATTGCAAAAATCTTCAACTGTGTGTCGCTGTTCCTCAAAACTGTTTTGGTCATGACGACTGAACATGCCGAGAATTCATATAGGCTGCCTCAAAGACTGCAAGCTAAATTGCTCTTAAATAATTTCTTGTAATATGGATGGTTTTAAGAAATTAATTAAACAAGGTACCGTTAGAAATTGGATTACATATACTATCGGTAAAATATGCGAAATTAAAATTTTACATTAGCCCAGCAGGAAAACAGAAATAGCGTGAAGTAAATTAATTTCTGTAAACAAATTAGTCAAATAAAAAAGTGTGTATTCTAATGCGATCAAAATTAACTCTAGTGTGCTTTGGCCATATTCAACTAACTAATATGATTCCTTAAAATTTGTGGAGACCGAATATAGATGTTGCTTAAAATAGCTTTACGCTTTCTAACACAAATTCCTGGTCGCCGGAAAACTCTTAATTTGAAAATATCGGCTCCTAATTACCATTTGTAGAAATAGTTTCAAAATTTTGAATTTAGTGAAATTCGGTTTTCTATAACCTATAATAAGTTACCAATTATTATAGTTTATAGAATATCTATAATGAGTTACCAATATTTTTTTCGCATAAAAGTGGTTTGATTTATTGACATTTATTTTAGGGTCCGTTCTACGTATTATGAATCGATTTTTAATTTCTAAGTATCTTAAGTTACAGCGAGGAACAACTTACTAATCGTAATTCTTGTCTTAGAGGACTTGTGAACCTTTTAGGTACATAGCGCAAAATAAATTAAAACATCCCATCCTCAAATCATAAGAGGAAAGAAACCATGTACAAGGCACGAAAGGCATGAATTACTGTGATTAATTTTCTGAGATTAATTTAAGTATTAAACTCTTAATTTATACTTTATCAGTTCAGAAACAAGTTGATGTATTTATATCATCAACTCTGTGATGACGAAACGACGGAAAATGTAAATTACTTTTTCTTCTCTCTATTATTGTTTTCCTTTTTAGTTTTAACAGTTTTTGCTCCTTTCATGAAATAAGTCGCTGTACTTTTGTTTTTATTATTACGTATGGTTTGTTCCGAATTCAATATGGGATGGATTTAAATATTCAAATTTAATTTATTTTACATTGTTATCGCCATTTGTTGCTGCTGTGAGTGTGCAACTGGATTAGGTTTTGAACTACCTTTTACTTTGTATTTATTCATTATATACTAATATCAGTCTAAATACTAGTAAACTGATTCATTTGTTTAACTGGAATTATGGGCCTACGATCAGTTCAAGGCACCTTTAAGTCTTCCAGTCGCTTAGTAACATCTTGTATACGTGTTGCTATCCAGGAAACGTTCGGTGTAGCATAATAAATTAATCTTTGCTCTTCTGCAGATATTAATGCGTAGCAACGGTGGTAAAAAATAAAGTTAAATAAATAAATAAAAACCGATTATAGAGTAAAAGCAAGTCTCTGGAGTAGAATCGAATGGCAACCCCCTTTTTCAGCTAACGAGGAGAAAATAATAAATAAATAAATAAATAATGAATTGCGGCGAGCAGGGTCGTGACTATACACGATTCTTCTGGGCCAAGCTTAATAGTCTGTGGTCATTCACCTGAACTTTCTCTTTGCTGCCAACAACAACCGGAGGGCATTGCTCTGTTGGCCTAGTTTCTGGATCGTTCCGCGTTGGCCATCAGTCCGTCCGGCACACATTTAAGAGAACCTTAATCCTCTCGTCACGTGAAGGAGGGCGTTGAACTCCGTTGCCTCCAAGACACTTTCACTGAGGGATCGGGGAAGACCAATTTCAAATATTTTGAGTTTTCCTACTAAAACGATTCTGTCAAGTTGAAACAAACTCTAGCTGAAGAATTATGCAAGTACTAGGATATAACTGAAGCTACATGAAGGGCAAACTTCGGCGAGAATCGTCTCTTTTCATTGCGATGTTTAAAATTCAAATTCTATTGAAATAACACTTCCAAAATTCCATATCGAATAATGATTTTCATCTTTAGTGCGGAATTTTTGCAATGCATTTTAAAGGAAAGTTTATACAGTGTCATTTTTAGAGAAAACTAATACGGCATAAATTTTGAACCCACAGCAACATGAATTATTAAGGGAAATAAAAAAAAGGCCTTATCTTAGGAGAAAAATAAAGGCACATTTTTATTTCTCACTTAATCGAGTTTGTGCCCGCCGGCGGCCGAGCGGTAAAGTCGCTGAATAGTGGTAGTTCTGTCCAGAATTCGAATCCCAGCGAATGGGCTGGTTGTATGGACGTTTTCGTCGTTTCCAGCGTGTGTGACGTGTGCACGAGCCAGTTTCTCTTAGAAAGTCATTAACGAAGGCATTTTATCCCTTAGGCAGAATAGCCCTCGAGTGCTTTTCCGTAAAAAATAAACGAAAGCAGTCAAGTTTGACGTCCGATATAAATCTCAAGATTAATACTTTTGGTTAATAAACATATTAAACTGAGATGTCTTTCTTTAAACTTTTAGAACTGGCTGTATTTTCTTTCATAGTTAATTTCATGAAAATTCGTGGAGGGAATTCTTTTTATAGCTATTCCATTAGCTAATAAAAGTTTTGGTCATAAAAATGGGTTACAGCTTTATAGGTAAACTAATTTTTAATAGTGTTTCACTTTAGCAAAATTAGCTGGTCCGTGAACATGAAAAGTGATGTTTCCCCGGAAGGGCCTACCAGCGGCAAAATTGTAAAGCCGCTGAATATTAGTTATTAGATTGGGGATCAAATCCTAGCGAACGGGTTTCCATGCTTTTTCCTATGAGTAAGATGAGTACGAATCAATTTGCCTGAAAAAGGCCTCCATGAAGACATAACAACCTTTAGGTAGTCCCAGAGGCTTTGCTATAAAATAAATGCTTCCGAATTCTCCGGAAAGTTGATGAGAAAATGTTAACTTGCAGTAAATTTGTGCAGTATTTATAGTTCAGAAAGTAAATTAAAGACTAAACTACATTAAGGCGTCTAAACACTTTCACAAACATATACCTAACAGCCATAGCATAAATATGAATATAGAATAAATATTATTAAGAAATGTGTTTTAAATAGAGTTAAAATGAAATATAAGTGTTGCTATACTGAATACAAACAATATTATGCATTTATATTTATATGGAACATAATTGCCAAAATCAGATTTCTTAATTTTATTATATTCGATATAAATATTGGGAAATTAAGGTTCATAGTTCGAACCCAAAGACAAGAACCAAAGAATTTGATTTAATTCATATGCCTGTGGAAACTTCTAAAATATTAAAAAGTAAATCACAGTATAAATTCGTTTCGATATCAAGGATAATTTGTTATTGCAATAACTGAGAATTTTGTATTTATAATTATATAAATTGGCGATTTATATTGTTCATTTTAGCCAATTTTAATTCTTACGTTGGAATCCTTTCTGATACTTAACCATTATCGCAACCACCTTAGTAGGAGTCGCCAAATTTCCATAATGGGCCGAACTCTGACAACCATGCGTACAAACGGTTACAGCCGAAAACATCGCGGCAAAAACATCGCGAACGAAAACGTCATGCTGCAAAACATCGTGGGAGAAAACATCGCAGTTCTAAAACATCGTGGTACAAAACATCGTCGTCGAAAATAAAGCGGTTCAAAAACTTCGCAGTTTGAAAACATCGTCGTCGAAAATATCGTGGTAAAAAATAAAGTATCTACAAATCATCGCATGACGATAACATCGCAGACATGCTTTATTCAGGCTTTAATAACTGTAAATAGATATTACCATGATGATTTGTGAGCGCAAGATGTAAAGAAGGATAATTTTTACTTTCACATTTTTTTATTAACTAATAAATTTTTGCTGAAAAAGTAAGAAGGAAACTTAAGCATAGAAAATTAAATGCAACTTATAGATTATACTTTTTATGTAAAATGACCAGTAAAAACTTTATGAAAAATGATTTATTAATGGTCTTTGTTAGTTAACTATGTCGGTTTAAAATTCTATTAAGTGTTATAAGTTGCATTAATTTTCTATACTTAAGTTTCCTTCTTATTTTCTCAGCAAAAATTTATTAGTTAATATAAAATATGAAAAACAAATTATCTTTCTTTCTATCTTGCGCTCACAAATCATTTTGGGAATATCTATTTATAGTTATTAAAGTCTGAAAAAAGCATGTCTGCGAT